TCCTGCAAAGTGAAAGGTTGCCAGCTTGATTCTGGGTCAGGGCACATGCCTGGGTTGCAGGTTTAGCCCCAGGTTAGGGCAATGGATTGATGTTTCTCTCCTTTCTCCCTCCCTTCCTCACTTTCTAAACATAAAATATTTTTTAAAAATCCAATGGGACTTTTGCTACATCCTCTGATGAAACTATTTCCTTTTGGGGGACTAGGGCCTCAAAATCCTCAAAGCTCAAGGTTGTGGTGACAGAAATACCTGCAGTGGGATCATGAGGATTAATGGTAAGAAGAGCTACTCCTATTTCTACCCCTTGTTCCCTGGACCTATACATTCTTCTTATTGGTACATAGCACCATGTCGACTGTGTCCCATTGTTAGATTACAGGAGCTCTGTACTGGGATCTCAGCTGTGCCTTCACAGACCATTCCTTCTCTGTTCAGATTGGCATCTTCTGGATGGCAGTGATCGAGATACAACCAGTGGATCCCATGGTCATGCCCCATTGTCATGCCTCCTTAGCTGTATAAGGGGTCCTTTGGACTGATGTGATGTTACGTGGGATCTTCTGCCAAAGGGTCAGACAGTCAGTAAACACTAAAGAAAGTGGTGTTAGCTGAGGCCCTACAGACAGAAAAGGAAAACTATCCAGACTGTGGCAACTGCAGTCAAAATAAACTGCTGCCATTTCCAGGACAAAAGGTATCAGATGTAGTCACCTTGTCATCATGTGGCTGGTTGCTCTCTTGGAAGAAGACTGCCATTTGTAGGGCACAGCAGTGAATTCATTGCTGACAGGTTGGACATTCAGCAGTGACAGTGTCTATAACTGCCTTTGTCAGTGGAGCCCATGCTCTTGGGTCCATGTATGGCTCCTACCCCTGCCCTCATGGCTATTCCCTTTGCATGTCCATTGTGCCAGTAATGAGATGGTTACTAGCATCTGGCTGACATCAACTGGCAAGTCATTCTCTCTACCTGGCTGTTCAGTGCCTCTTTCATGTAGATGCTCCCTGGTGAGCATTGCATACTTCTTGCTCACCCACATGCCTCTACACTACACAGACCTCCTTGTCTTTGATCTTTTTCTTCTTTCTCCTCCCAGGCCCTGATCAGCCAGCCAAGCCAACTGCTAGTTCCATGCATCTGTACATATTTTAATCTTGGATACATTTCTGTCCATGCCAAGAGTATGACCCGGTGTACCACTGACAGCACTTATCCACTGGGAGAATTTGCCATGCCACTGTCTTTCAAGATCACCCCAGAGTGGAGTTATATAGTGCAGCCATCATTCATGTTTGGTTTGCACTCACATCACCAATACTGACCTATCAGTGAATCAAGCCTTGCTTTTTTTCCCTTTGTCCATTGGTCACAAAGGGGCCCCCCTTCCTATGCAGTCATACACGTGAGCTGAGGGAGAGGCGCTGGTACAAAATGATACGTGACATGGATATCTAGGCTATTTGCTTGTGCCCCTGGCCCCACTTATGCCCAACTCTGATTGTACCACTTCTGTCTTACTATGGGTTATTCTGGGGCCTAATCAACTTTATGTTTGGTGATCTGATAGGTGAAAGGTAACTTATATGAGGCAAGCTCATAAGGAAGTAGTTTGGGTCAACTTAAAAATATACAAAGGGCCCTGAAGAAGTGGTTCAGTTGGTTAGAGCATCGTTCCATACACCAAAAGGGTGCAGGTTTGGTCCCCAGTCAGGACACATACCTAGGCTGCAGGTTCAATCCCCAGTCAGGATGTACATAGGAGGCAATTGATGGATGTTTCTTTCTCATGTCAATGTTTTTTTTTTTCCCTTTTCTCTCTCCTCCCCCCTCTCTAAAATCAATAAACATATCCTCAGGTGAAGATTAATTTAAAAATACACACACACAAAACGAATTAAGTTTTTCAACAATGTTTTGGAATACACAAGCAAAACAAGTCTGCTGATAATGGACTGGAAGAGATGTTAGGCCAGAGAGTACTATTACAGTCTGAACAAAAAAGTAGTAAAGAAAATGGTATACAAGAAGCTAATTTTTAAAATTCTGAAGAGAAAGAAGCGATAGGTAGATGCAGAAATGGAGACAGCAGGCACATTTTCTTCATCCTTTTAAAAACAAAATCTAAGCTGTGAAAGGAAAAGGGTGTGGTATCTGAAAACAGTTAAAGCTTCTTTATCTTCAGTCTTCAGAAGATGGACTTGACTGGTTATACTGAAAGAGGCAGTGGAGACGGGAAAATGGCGGGACTAGGGGGCTCTGCTGGAGTTCTGAGCACTCATATTGATGAGCAAAACAAAATGAAAACAGAAACAAAACAAAAAGACCAAGCAGAAGTTGTAAACCGTAATCCAGGTGTTACAGAACAAGAGGTCGGGGGGGGGGGCAATATTTGGCCCACTTAGGGATGCCCAAAACTGCTACACAACAGGGACCCCTCCCAAGGACGGAATACTAATATTTACTGGTCTCTTCTGTCCACTGCCTTATTGGAAAGACATCTCTCAATGCCAGAGATTTGTGAAAAGGAAATAAAATGTTTATTTAATGCTATTTAGGCTTAATGCCTCCACAAAATAGCAAAGTCCTTTAGGGTATACACCTACACCCACACAGCGCTCCCTTCTCCCACTGTCCCAACTCCGGGTACCGTAAATCAGGAAAAGAGCACACGTCTGTGTTGCAGGCCGCTGGCACCGTCAGCTGTGTCAGGCAGGATCTCTAGTTAATCCAAAGTACTGTGGTACCCTCTCATGGTTCACTAGCAAGAGTTCTTTGTACCCAGTTCCAGTCAAAGTCTCTCCTGCTTTCCAGGCCACACGGCCAAAGGGACACCCGAAAGCCGCAGGGGTATGCACTCCACCAAAAGCATGTGGCTTTCTTCTTCACCTGGCTGCAGGGATCTTCATTCTGGCAAAGCCGCGTGGTTTTCCCTTTCACCTGGGAAAGAGGGGGTCCGCACTCTGCTGAAACCACGTGGCTCTCCCTTACATAACTGCAGGGGTCCTCACTCTGCCCCAAACCGGGTGGCCCCTCTCCTCACCTGGGCCGTTATTCCCTCATGTCCCGGAGCCAATCTTTTCCAAGCTCTCATGCAGGTGCTGTAACTTGGGGGACCTGCCCCTAGTTACATCCTGGGTCAAAGCCACTCCCTTCTCCCTGGCTCAAAACTTGGCCACAGCTATTTAACATATCTATGAAACCAGTTAAAGGTTATAGATATGTTAAATAATCATTCCAGAGGTTAGCTGCAAAACTGTTGCTATGCAAAACAGCTCTCAAAGGCCCTGGCTCTATTCGTTCCTTTCCCCAACTCACACCTGTGGGGGGAAGGGGTGAGGACATCTTATTATGTCTCTCCAATATTCCTATACACTTTGAATTCTGAACACCATTCCAAATCTACTTTTTTGGGCCTCCCTTGGCTGCACCCTGTATCACAGGGAAGCAAGACAGTTGGAAATCTCCACCTCTCTGCCAACTGCCCCCTCCCGGCCAGCTTACCACCAGAGAGAAAAGCCTGGCTCCACAAAGCACCAGATACTATTTTCTCTTAGAGACCCACTTCTCCTTACCTGCTGTGAAGGGAGAGTAAACATTAATACCAATACCCAGAGTAAAATCAGTCTGCATAGGATAGATATAAATTTCAGCTCCCAGTAAAGCATGATTTTCTCTTTCTTTTCGGAAAAACAACTTTTATTAAGAACACCTAAAATCCCTCCACTGGCTATGGTAAAAGTTAAATTCTAATGCAGTGCCTTGAAACAAGCACAGCCCCTTTTGCATCATGATGTTCCTCTACAGTATCTATTTGGTTGTCCATAAGGTTCTTAATGTAAGCGCGGGGGTAAGGGGTGGGGAGAAGGCAACAACTTAGTGCAAGGTTTTTCTATTGGACACCCAGCAGCTTCACCTTTTTGAAGGTGGAGACAGAACAGTCCTTGAATGCCATTCAAGATCATTTAGCAAGGCTGTTCATAGGTGCTGCTAAGTAGGTTTAGGAAACCTGCTCAGTTCCTCACGCTGTGCAAATAACTCCAAAGGGTTACCACATCTCCAGGCTGAAACGGGCCACCAGCTCACATGGCTCTCCAAAAAGTGTCCTGGGCTCTAAGGATGTAGACCCTCCAACTCCTTTCCCTACCGCTGTTCACAAAGGTTAGACAAGTGTACAGACTCCGACCCCGGGGAGCCGCTAAGCGCCCCATATACCAGAATCGGTTCCGGAACAGCTAGCCGGGGAGGCCGAGGAAGGTTGGATGGCAGCTGTCGCCAGGCCTCAGCAGGTTATCTACTCACCAAAGGCGATTATACCGTCCCGCTTACCTGGGCACCCCCAGTGCTCCCGCAGAGTCAATGCCAAGGCTCCATACCACCCTAGACTCAAATCAGTGAGTAAGGAGACCCAGCACAGCGTAGGACTCCAAACGCACCGGGCCGTGCCCCTTCCTCCGCGGGGCAGTACTGGGTGGGCGGAAGATGGCGGCAGCGACGACTGAGCCGGACGGTCATTCCCCGGGCGCCCTTGACTGGCTCCCGCCGCAGCGCCACCTATCTTGCTAGACTTGGGCCCAGGCGCGAGAGGAAAAGGGCGAGAGGAAATGGTGATGAGCGTTAGGCGGGGCGAATCAGCAGCGAGGAGCTCCAGCGGAGCCCAATCAGCACCCAGGAGGCGGTGACACGAGTAGGTTGCTGGTGGGTAGCCCGTGTGGCGAACGCCGAACGCCAGGAATCGAGCTCTCCGCCTCGCTGCAGAGCGCGCTGTCTGCACCGCGACCCCCGACACTATTGAGGAGCCTGCGCCGACCGCCCGGTTCCCGACACCGGCCTACGAGCGCCTCCTGCAGCGGTCACGGAGCACCTCCTTTAAGGAACCCTTTCTAAGTGGCTGCTGCAGAGAGACATGACGGGTTCGGCGCCGGCCGAGTAGGAGACTCGGAGGAAGCTGTGAAGTCCCTCCGTATTCGTTCCTCCTCCATCCCAGGAGCTGGGCAGAGGCATGTTCCCGCGCAGGCTGGCGGGCGCGCTGGCGGCGGCGGCGGCGCGCGCTGTACCGCGGAGTTCGGGCCTGCTCGCCCTGCTAGCCAATCAGTGTAGCTTCGTGACGGGTCTGCGCGTGCGGCGCGCGCAGCAGATCGCGCAGCTCTACGGCCGCCTCTACTCGGAGAGCACGCGCCGGGTCCTCCTCGCCCGCCTGTGGCGCCGGCTGCGTGGCCGCTCGGGCCATGCCTCGGCTGTGATGGCAGCGCTTGCTGGCGTCTTCGTGTGGGACGAGGAGCGTATCCAGGAAGAGGAGTTGCAGAGGTAGGCCCCTCGGGAAGGTCGCTACCCGTCGGTGGTGGCGCGGCTCTGGCGGCGAGGGCGGGACCTCGAACCGGGGTCCTTACCCGGTCCTGTTTTACGCAGCGGTGGTGTAGCTGGATCCGGTTTTAGCAACCTCTGCTTTTCTTAGTTGCCTCTATGTTCTATTTGTCGGGCTAAAAGTAACAGGATGTATAGGATAATGTAGAGGGGAGATTTTGAATGGGGACCAGAACCCTAAAGAAATAGCATTTTTAAAAATAGATGCTGAAAGCACGTACCTGCTGCTATTGTTCGCATAATCTTTAACCAGAAAGGTGCAAATTCAAGACTAGTTGCAAGTTTGACCTAAGGGAATAGACAGGCAATTTAGAAAGTGACCTCATTCCGAGTGGGACTTGATCAGAAGTGCCAAGAGAGCTTTTGTCATTGTGACTCTTGTGGCAGAATGATGACACTTAAACCTGTAAAACTTGTCAGTGTTTTGCTACTCTAACTAGGACTTTGAAGGTACTATTTTATTAGGCTCTGAAAGCATGCCGTCATCATCAAAACCCCAGTGTGGAAAGTATGGAATTATTCATTGATTGAATTTGTTAATCCGTGTCTCCAAATTGGAGTCCTTACAGTTTTCAAGGTTTCCCAGAGAAACCCTTTCTAGAGAAACCTTGCTTCAGCTCTTTCTTTACATTGTCTCTGTATTTTTTTTTTTTTGTAACAGATGCCGTATGCTTAAACTGTTCTCTCTCTCCACACCATGTACACTGTGTCCCTGAACTCTGAAACTGATTTCAGGAACCTAGAACGATCCCCCTCCCCCAACAAATGCCATACAAGTTTATTTATTCCAGACATTTCTTCTGTTATTCCACATTTTTGGTTTGGTTGAAAGTGAAGTACAGGCCACAAAGTTAACATTGTGGCCTGTCTGGAGGTGTAGCACCCAGATGTCAGGCATATTTTCGCAACACTGTGAGTTTTAAGTAAATGCAAATTTTTCTTAAAAACTGTATCTTTAAAAAATTACTAAAAAATATCTCAATACTTTTTGTAGCAGGAAGAATGACTAGTTTATAGATGCAGTTTAAAGCCATAACCGCCAACAGTCTTACTCACAAATAAGTTATCAAAGCATGGTAGTTTGCCTAGTTTCTGTTGGCATTCTTTTGTTATTTGTCCATTTTTTTTTTCTGGCGAAATAGACTCAGGTGTAAAGAATTAAAACTTTTAAATTGAGAAATTATCAGTTAGCCTTTTTAATTTTCATTCTGTGTTTTTGGTGATAAAACAGCCATGTTCCACATTGAAGAAGTTTGAGGGGGAAATTCCCATTCTGATTTGTTTGGAGAAGAGGAGAAAGACCAGAAAAGGGCTGTTGGGTACAAGAGAGGGAAGATGTATGGGGGCTGGGAGCTGAATGGTGTTGAAGCCTAGAAAGTAGATGACATTCTTTGGTTTATTTCACGTGTTTTTTATGGAGATATGTCCTGGAGTCTCTGTTTAGTAGGGCTCCCATTTGCAGGAGCTAGAGCAGAAAATAAGCTAGGAAATCAAAGCGGTAAACATTTGAGTTAGTAGTCACTCTCCACTGGGGCAGGAAGATGAGACCAAGTCGTGCCCGGGCCCAGTATTCATTCCATTTCCCTCTCTTTTGCTTGTTTCTGATATCCGGGAGGCAGTCGAAAGTCTTGGTTCTAATTCAGCTCCTAAAGGGGTATTGCTATGTGTTAAGCCGCTTGGGAATTTCTGAAGCTTAGATGGAGGCCAGTCAGAACACCTGCTGTGCTTTTTTGGACCCTCCACAGGGTTGTTATAGAGCATGCCCTCATTTGTACAGTTCATGCTTAAAGTCAGTCATATACTTAAAATTTGATGAAGTCCATTTCGAAGATTTTTTCAGACTTTATTTTTAGAAAGAGGGGAAGGGAGAGAGAACCAGAGGGAGAAAAACATCAATGTGTGGTTGCCTCTAGTGCATTCCCCAATTGGGGACCTGGCCTGCAACCCAAGCATGTGCCCTGACTGGGAATCAAACCAGCGACCCTTTTGTTCTCAGGCTAGTGCTCAGTCACTGAGCCACACCAGCCAGGGCTTAATGTCTGTGTTGATAGGGAGGAAAATAATATGCTATTCAATTATACCTTGGTTGTATGGTAGTTTGTTTCATAGGTCTTCGATAGCTTGTCTTTATATTTTATTCAATACAGTATTCTGGGTCCAGGTTAACTTTTTTTGCTTGGTGTTTTTTTCTGTTTGCGTTAACAGAGGCACTGCCTCTGAGAATGCCTCCTCATAGCTAGCTTAGAACACCTCCGATCTTTTTTGTTCTAGTGAGATGATTTTGGGTAGCTTCCATGATGGAACACAGTTAAATTTCCTCACAACAAGTGTATTTCATTGTTAAAGGAAGAAGAGAATAATTATCTTGTGACCCTTAATTCACAGCCTTTGGTTCTTATGTGCTGTTTCTATACCAACTTTTACTAGTATAGACTAATTCTACGATTGCTGTTCTTATTAAAAAAGGTTGCTCTTTGAATGTGTGCTTTACAGTAGCATGTTTTTTCTAATGTTATTTGAGTTCCTATTCAGAATAAAAAAGAGTAACCTTGCTTTATATTATCTTCTGTTTAATGACATCTTAACAAATAGGATCTTACTAATCTAGCAACAGGAAGAAAATTTGAGAAAAGAAGGATGACCGGTGTAGAAATCAAGTCTAATGCTTAGTCTAGTATTCTTCTTCAATTGGCTTCAATTAAACAAAATCACTTCAATCACTATTTTTGGTGCTACCTGGCATTCTGTAAGCCCAAGGCAAATTTTACGGAAAAATACAATAGTAATTTAGTGCTTTGGAATACTAAGAAAAAATTACAGAAATAAAAAGAGGAAATAAGATAAATATGAAAGGCTAAGGGAAATGTTCCATTAATCTCCCCTCTTTTTTAAAAAGTTATACTTCATTGCTCTAGAAATTTTAGGAAATGAGTGGCAGTAAAATTTCATAACGGAAAATTGGCTGTTTTCTCATTTTTGCCTTTTAGGGCATTCCGAATACTTTCAACTTCAGTATGCTATTAACTAGGTATATAATCAATGAAAATCCTTTTGACTTAAAGGAGTTTTTTAAAAACCATTGTCACTTGATTGTATTTTATTGTTACAGTCTTCTATTATCAGAACTACATAAAAGCTGACTTGAACTTTTTGAGCTTGTCTTCACAATTTTACCATTACCCAGTTGGCCCAGAATTGTAGTTAGCTGATGTCCTATTTCTAGGTGTGTCCCATAACAGTTGTACTTAAAAGTCTCTAATTTTGACAGTAATTTGGAATTTGAGGAGGAGATTATGTGTAGTGAGTCGGTTGTCTTTCTAAAATTGCTGACTACAGGGATGGCTTTATTTGAATCGTTTTTGAACCTATGTCAAGCTCTACAGAGGTCAGGACCCCCTGGATGAACCATACATGGTTTTACTGATTATTCTGTTTTCTTGGTTTATGCCTTCAATTTCACTAGCTCTCCATCTAGCCTTTCTCAGATATTGAACTGACTTCAGTTTGGGAGAAAGGGAAGCATTGACTGTCTTGATCCTCTTACTAATCTGTTGGTTGTGTTACTATTTTGGGAGTAATCTCTTTTGTCCTTCTTTCCTACTACTTGTTTACGTCTGTTAGATAATAGGTTTAGCCCACCCTGCCCAAACAAGATTTGGCACAGCAGGCTACAGAGATGTGTGGTGAGAGATTTTTCCTTCCTTTACCTATAGGGTAGTGAGTGACTTTGTGCACCCGGTCTGTTCTGTCAGCATTAGCAATTGAGACCTTTCAGAGAGGTGAACCTAGGGAGATGATCATTTACATTTTCATGATGCAGTCTTGCTCCAGGATTCATATTGTGCTATTCAAAAAATGAATATTCTTTACAAGACATTTCTTGTCCCCTTTAGGAACTTAGCCTCATAATTTTAATTAAGGCTGCTTATTGCTCTTAATTATGTGAGTCAGAAGCTCTGTACCACTTTGAGCCCTTGGAAACCATTAAAAGTATTGCTTGTAGTCATATAGTTTAATTTCCTTAAAACCTTATTTTTCTGTAATTTAGTGAGCCTCTGATATATTAATAAAATATTCCTGCCCCCTTCATTATGTGATAAGGATGACATTTGAGAGTGGTGCTTATTTTTAATTAAAGGATACTTAACTAGTTGTGAAAATGCTGTGAATTGGTGCCATGTGATGCCTGACTTGTTCTTTGAGCAAATCTAGCTATGGTTTTGCTTTTGCTCTCTCTTCTGCAAGATCTTATTGCCTACTCTAAAGTTCCTTCCCTATTTCTGTAAGTGTTTGCAGTGGTGGCAGTGAATCCTATTTTGCAACTTTTAATTCAAATTAAAACTTTTCTAAATTGGTTAAGCCTTTTCATCAGAATAGTAGTATAAAAAAAACTGATATTGGTTAATTTAAGACAAAAAGGAATTAATCAGAAAGGTGTTAGGTCACTCAGAGCATTGGTAAGGCCAAAGTACAGGTTGGCCAACAGAACGGCCAAGACCAGCTATAGGAGTAATGTCCTCAGGACACCGTTGGTGGTTTTTGTTTCCCGTACATCAGTTGTACTGCTGCACCTCAACTCCCTCAAGATCACTGAGCGTAATCTTCAAAAGATCCTGTGCCTTTCTTATTTCCTCAGGATTCAAGTCTCTACCAGAGAAGGGGGCCACATCCCACCTATTCTGGGAGTCTCCCCAATTGTAAAAGTTTTCAGGCAGCCAGAACAACAAATTTCCCCCTATGTAAATATTTTCATCTAACTCCAAAGTTTAAAAATTGAGAGAATTGGAATTTTAGTGCTAATCGAAACCTTCAAGAAAGTGTCCTCACTATCTTATGCAAGTCATTTTACCAGTAAAATGACTTGCATAAGATAACACAGATCTCTACATTCAACATCATTTTGTATCTCTGTAAACTTTTAATCTTGGGTTACCAGTATTACTTTGAATTTTTGACTTTTAAAGCACTGTATTAATGTAATCTTTTAATAAGAATTTGGATTATTGAGGCCTACTTTCACATTCACTTATTTGCTCAATTTATACAGTAAATAAAGTGTTAAGCGTCTAATGTTTACCAGACACTTGATAGGAGCTGGGAATACAAATGCACAATAACGGGATTTGGGGCCATTGGGAAATTCATAGTTGAATAAGGGAGACAGTTAAGTGTGCTGTTTCTGTAGAAAAAAGTAAATGTAGTAAACGTATATGGATAATTGTAGTAATTGTATATGGTTAAATATATAGTTAGCCTTGAGGATTTTTTTAAAGGTCAAAGAGGAGTAAAAGGGCACTTCAGACGGAAAGTGTCAGTAGTTGGTATTTTCTTTGTCTTGGATCATAGAAGAATTCTTTATGACATTGATAGCCAACAGTCTGTACCCCTTTCCAATGGAAATATCCTCTCTCCCCCAGAATAGCCCAATTCATTGTATTTTATTCCCACTCTCTTTTATTCATACACAAAAATCCCTAAATGGTATATAATGACACAGAGTATGATATGTGTTTTGTTTTGAATGTTTTAAAGCTTTATGAAGTCCTGTACAAAATACTAACAAACTGAATCCAGCAACATGTAAAAAAGGATTATACACTATGAACAAGTGGAATTTAACCCAGAAAAGCAACATTAGTTCATCATATAAAAATCAATTTAATATACCATGTTAATAGAATAAAGGACAAAAACCACATTATCTCAGTAAATATGGAAAAAGCATTTGACAAAATCCAACCTTTTGTGTTTAAAAAAGAAAATATTTAACAGACAAAGAATAGGAGGAAACTTCCTCAGCCTTATAAAGGGCGCTATTAAAAACACTGCTGACAGCATAGTTAATAGTGAAAGGCTGAAAGCTTTCTCCCTAAGATCAGGAACAGGACAAAGATGTGTTCTCAACCACTCCTGTTTAACATTGTAATGTAGGTACTTGCCAGGGAAATCAAGCAATACAAGAATATAAAAGGCATCCAGATTGGGAACGAAGTAACACTATGTCCATTTGAAGTTGACCTGACCTTGTATATAGAAAATCATAAGGAACCCACAGGAACCTATTAGAGCTAAGAAATGAGTTTCACCAAGGCTGTGAGATACATGATCAGTATTTAAAAATCATATTTCTATGCACTAGCAATGAATAATCCAAGAATAAAATTAAAACAGTTCCATTTATAGTAGCATCAAAAAAATAAAATATTAAGGGATAAATTTAACAAAAGTGAATGACATGGTAAACTGCAAAAGATCATTGAAAGAAATTTTTAAAAACATGAATGGGAAGATATTCTGTATTCACGGGTTAGCACACTTAATATTGTTAAGATGACAATACAAGCCACAGCAATATGTAAATTCAACATTATTCCTATTATAATCATAGGCTGTTTTGTAGAAATTTCCATGTAAGTAAGGCAGTACTTACATGGAAATGAAAGAAAGCCAGAACAGTCAAAACAGTTCTAGGGGGGCCAAGGTGGGGGGGCAGGAGACAGATTTGGAGGACTCACCCTTCCCAATTTCAAAAATCACAATAATTAAGATGATATGGTACTGGCATACAGATGTATAAATTGTTGAAATGAAATAGAAAATTTAGAAGTAAACCCTTACATTTATGGTGAATTAGTTTTTAGCAAAGGTGCCAAGACAGTTCAATGGGGAGAGAACAGTCTTCAACAGATGGTACTGGGACAGCTGGAGATATACATGCAAAATAATGAATTTCGACCCCCTGCTTTACATCATACCCCAAAACAGATCAAAGACCTAAACTAAAACTCTTGGAAGAAAATATCGATGTCAGTCCTTAAGACCTTGATTGGGCAAAGGTCTGATATAATACCAAAAACAATCAGAGCAATCAGAGAAAAATTAGATTAAATAGACTTCATCAAAATTAAATTTTTGTGCATCAAAGATCACTAGCAAGAAAGTGAAAAGGCAACCCACAGAATGTAAGAAAATATTTATAAATTGTATATCTGGTAAGAGATTCATATCCAGAATATATAAGAACTCTTTACAGTTCAACAATAAAAGTCAACTCAATTTAAAAATAGTGAAATATTTCAATGGATATTTCTCCAAAGAGACACAAATGGCCAATAAGCACTTGAAAATGTGCTCAACATTATTAGGGAAATGCAAATTGAAGGCCACGTGAGTTACCACTTCATATGCATTAGGGTTTCTAGAATCAAAAAGATGGACAATAAGTGTTGGCAAGGGTGTGAAGCAGTTTGAACTCTCATACATTGTTGCTGTGAGTGTAAAATGGTGCAGCTGCTTTGAAAAATAATTTGGCAGTTCCTCAAAAAGTTAAACATGACCCAACAAGTCCATTTCTTAGAATCTACGAATCTACACTAGAGAACTAAAAACCTACATCCACACAAAAACTTGTTCACAAATGTTCAAAGTCATATTATAATAGACAAAAAGTGAAAACCTAACTGTCCATCATCTAATGAATGGATACAAAAAATGTGTGTCCACACAATGGAATATTATTTAGCCATTAAAGTGAATAAAAACAACATGAATAAGCCTTGGAAATAGATTAAATGAAAAAAGCCAGGCACAAGAGATCATAGCATATGATTCCATTTATATGAAATGTCCAGAATAGGTAAGTCCATAGAGACAGTAGGTGAGTGGTTACCCAGGTCTGTGGGGACGTAGGAATGAGGGGTAACTGTCGCTAAGCATAGGTTTCTTTGGGGGATGATGAAAATGTTCTGGAACTAGCAGTGATGGTTTTACAACCTGGTGACTATGCTAAAAAGCACTGAATTGCATACAGTAAAAGGATGATTCTTATGGTAGATGAACTACATATTTTTAAAAGAGGCAGAAAAATATGTAAATACTCTTATAATGTACTAGGAAGACAACCCAACTAAAAATAGGCAAAAGGTATTAAATGACTGTTCATATTCATAAACCTTTTTTTAAACAATTTTTTAAAAGATTTTATTTATTTACTTTTAGAGAGAGGATAGAAACATCAGTGTGTGGTTGCCTCTTGCTCACCCCAAACTGGGTACCTGGCTCACAACCCAGGCATGTACCCTGACTGGGAATCGAACCGGTGACTCTTTGGTTCGAAGGCCAACACTCAATCCACTGAGTCACACCAACTAGGGCTGATTCGTAAACCTTAATAGTTAACATTTGAGGGCTAATTTACATATAAATTTATTTAATTTTTACAACCAACCTTTGAGGTAGGCACTATTATTCCCATTTTACAAATTAAGTAATGGAGACTAGTTAGGTAATTAAATATATTAATGACTTTTTGAAGTAGGAATCAGATTGTGGACCTCGTGTTTTTATTCACTTTGTGCTCTTTTAAACCTGTTGTTCTTACGCAGAGCTTTGTGCGGACATGTCACTTCCCAAGGCTGATGCGAACCACCTGCACCTGCCTGTTGTTTTGCTCCTTTTCAGATCCATTGATGAAATGAAACGGTTGGAGGAAATGTCAGCTGTGTTTCAGAGCCCTGGGGTTGAGCGCCACCTGCCAGAACCAAAATCCCAAACAGAAGGGAGTGAAGATTCAGGGGTCAGAGAGCAACCATGGGAAATGGTGATGGATAAGAAACACTTTAAGCTGTGGCGGCGCCCTATTACAGGCACCCATCTTTACCAGTACAGAGGTAAACCCAGCTTGGCTGCTTTGCAAGTGTGTTCCGTGGTTGCCCACGTGTGCAGGCCTGGCATTCCTCATGTTCTCCATAAACGGTTCTGTTCTGGCTGTTTCTCAGGAAATTTGCCATGTTTTACCGTTTGTTGATTTTCCTCTTCTAGATGACAAGTGTTACAGTGTCTTCTTTGCTATACTTTGCTGTAGGGTGTCTTTGCTGCCCCAGTAAGACTTCTAATTTCTGAATCTGCCTTTAAGATTTGTTAGAACTATAATTGAAATATAGTTAAATGATAGGAATAGGTGAGTGATAAGAGTATGGCAGACATCCATGATTTTTACTTGTCATTCTAGTTTTTGGAACCTACACAGATGTGACACCCCGGCAGTTCTTCAATGTTCAGGTGAGTACGTTTTTCTTCCTGCATTTGGAGCCTCTAAGCCTGGAAATTCACTTAACCGCCATCCACGTGAATAATTTCTCTGATTCAGAACATCCATCTATCTCTGTTCCCCCTCATCTCACGTTAAATCGCACCTGGGTAAACATTTGACTTACATCTTTGTCTGCGGGGGATGAGACCAGTTTTACCCCTTTAATAGCTAGTTGATGACTGTAACTCCCACTGTAATGTGCACGTGCACTTCCCTCACAGGCTGGTGGAAAGATCGGACAGAGGGTTGTATTTGAATGCTTCAGTGTGTTTTACAAGGATTTGTAGTTGTTTTTTCCCCAAACAACTTGAGGTTAACTTATATACTTGACCCTTTATTTTAGAATCCTTAGGTATGTATATACTAAAACTAGACGTATTCTCTTAATTAACCATTGTGCCATTAATCAAAGTTGGTAAATTTAACATTGATGCAACATTTACCGTACATATTCTGTTTATATTCTAGTTTTATATATTGACCCAATAACGTTCTTTGTAGCTTTTTCCTCATTAGTATTGGTTCAGTCAGGAGTTAGTAATTTGAAACATTTCCACAGTGAAGGTTTTTTTTTTTAAGGAGAATGAAGTGTCTGTTCAAAGACTGCTTTTGTCCTTGCAGGGACATGAAAAGTGGCAGCATGACCATCCAGAGTTTTACAGTGAAGTTTCCCTCCTGGATTGTCTATTAGTTTTGCTGGGCCTTCAGTAACTAGTTGATGATTATAACACGCACTATAGTATGCAAGTGCGCACTTTCCCTACACACTGAATTTTGTCAACTTACATTGCATTTTTGTTGGTTTGGATGTGTCTGATAGTGTCCTATTTGGAAGTTTCTTAGTTACTAGTGATGTTAGAAAAATTTATAAGTAAGCTACTTGAATTTCTTTCTGTGAGGTATCTGCTCATTCTTTTGGACTTTTTATCTGTTTAAAACTTCTTAGAATTGTTTTACCCTTACACATTTATATCACCATCTATTGTATATTCCCCAGGCATATCTGTTATATAGTTGTTTTTTTCTTACACCGTTCTTTTTGGTTTTTCTTTTTCTCATTAATAATTCACTCTCAAGGTAATGGTATTGGCCTACAAGAAGAGATTTTAAAAGGCTCATCTGTAGTTGCGAACACAGCCAGGTCTTTCACAGGGCAGCACTTTTAGATTGGATCACTGGGTCAGGAAAAGTCCTTGGGTCAGAGGCCCAAGCCTCTGGAGAAGGCTTCTACAGCTTTGTTTTAAATCTCTTGGATGCTTTCTCTTTCCCTAGCTGGATACAGAGTATAGAAAAAAGTGGGATGCCCTGGTAATCAAGCTGGAAGTGATTGAGAGAGACGTGGTTAGTGGTTCTGAGGTTCTTCACTGGGTAACACATTTTCCTGTGAGTATTTTTACTTCTGGTTTTATTTTTATCACCTCCCTGTGAGGCACAACAATAATCCTGCTCCTTTTTTTTTTTTTTTTTTTAGTATCCAATGTACTCACGGGATTATGTGTATGTTCGGCGGTACAGTGTGGATCAGGAAAACAATGTGATGGTGTTGGTGTCACGGTATGTACGGTTACCTGGGGCTCCTGCTGGGTTCTGTTTGCTGCGTCCTTCATTCATGTGTGTCTGTGGTGGGTTTGAATTTTCTCTCTGCCCTTATAAGGGAGCCTAGGCCCCATCTATCCCAACTGGAACATGAGATTGAAGGGATATAAGCTTTTCATTAAATAATTTCTTCAGTTTATTCATATTGATAATTTTAAAAAGAAGTGCTGTCTTCAACACAAAACTTTGTGAGCTGGGAATTACCAAACGAACTCACTTTCAGAAGTTACTTTGTATTCATTTGTCTTGGTGACTCCTCTGTTGTATTTTATAAGTGCCATGTTTTTAGATTTTCCTTTTAACTTTAGCTCCTATGCTATTTATGCTGTTTTCAAGTAGACATTGATCAGTTTCCTTAACTTTTCTCTTTGCTAGTGCTGTGGAGCACCCTAGTGTGCCTGAGTCCCCGGAATTCGTGAGGGTCAGATCATATGAATCCCAGATGGTTATCCGTCCTCACAAGTCATTTGATGAGGTGAGTTTTATATCTTTTAAGAGGTAGTGTGTAATGGTTTTGGAATTTTCTCAAGGAAGGCCTTTATCTGGAATGGGGAGGGTGTGGGTTGCTGTAGGATAGTGGTTCTCAGAATCCACTGGAGCTTGTTCCAGTACAGTGCTAGGCTGTGGCCTGAAAATTTGTGTTTTTAATAAGTTCCTAAGTGAGGCTGATGCTGCTGGTCTGGGGGCTGCACGTTGGGAACCCCTGTCATAGGCTGATAGGCCTGGGGCATCCCCCCTTGACAATGTCCCATGTGTCTGAGACGAGAAGATGATAGCCTCTGATTCATTAGCCTGTGGCTAGCAGCATTCTTTAGGAACTAGAGTGAGTGCTTTTCCAGTCACATTTCACCGCAATGGGAAGGGCATTCGTGTATATAACCTTTCTAGACTTGTGCCTCCTTGTAAAATGAGAGGGTTAGGCCAGTGATTTTCAACCTTTTTCATCTCATGGCACACCTAAACTAATCACTAAAATTCTGTGGCACACCAAAAAATATGTGTTTTGCCGATCTGAAGAAAAAATAGGTGTAACTTTGATTCATTCACACCAGGTGGCTGTTTTTGTGTTGGCTGTTGTCATTTTTTTTTTTAAAGATTTTATTTATTTTGGGAGAGGAGGAAGGGGGAGAGAGAGAGAGAGAGAGAGAGAAACATCAGTGTGTGGTTGGCCCCTCAGGCACCCCGTCCTGGGGACCTGGCCCGCAGCCCAGGCATGTGCCCTGACTGGGAATCAGACCAGTGGCCCTTTGGTTTACAGTCCAGCACTCAGTCCACTGAGCCACACCAGCCATGGCTGTTGTCATTTTTTATTTGACACTCTTAAGGAAAAGAGATCGGTGCCCTGACTAAATAGTCAAGTATTGCATGTTTTACAAATTCTTGGAGAACACCAGTTGAAAATCGCTGGGTTTAGATTAATGCTATCTGCCTTCTTTAAAATTTTATGACTTCTGCCCTGGCTGGGGTAGCTCAGTGGATTGAGTGTGGGCCTGCAAACCAAACGATCGCAGTTCGATTCCCAGTCAGGGCACATGCCTGGGTTGCAGGCCAGTTCCCAGCAGGGGACGCATGAGAGTCAACCATACATTGGTATTTCTCTCCCTCTTTCCTTCCCTTCCCCTCTAAAGATAAATAAATAAAATCTTTAAAGAAAAAAATTATGACTTCTTTGAGAATGTTTTCTCCCCTCAGTGGGGTGTTATGTTGTTGTTTAGCCAAGTCTTTGTTGAGCATATAAATTGATTCTAGTGGTTGCTCTTTGTAGTTCTGTCTCACTATGTATTTTTAGTACATGGGCTGCCAAATCAAGCACCTGTTCCATTTTATAATGGCACTTTTTTCTCCCCATCACTTGTTTTAAAGCTGTATGAACTTTGTTCTTTAGTATTTGGTTTTGTTGTTTTCATCGGGTTGTTGTATTTATACCCCCTGGACTGGGACTTGTAAATAAGGCAGAAATTGTGGTTCACCCCAGTCCGTGTGGTGTTTGCCTCTCCTTTTATTTGGAGATCCCTGTGTTTTACCTCTGAACTGTTTTTAGACAAGTATTTTTCAAACCATGGCTTACTACCCATTAATGGAGGAGAAAATTAGTTTAGTGAATTACTACCAGCTTGACAAAGGAAAAGAGTAAGTAAAACAGTAGAAACTATTTGAATGTAAGCGTATTTCATGAGACTTTTGTTTGTTTGCATAATGCGTATGAGCACGTCTCTGAGAGAAGCTGGGAGAAGGAACTGGGTCGCAGCGTCAAAAGGATTATTTACAGTGTGTTGTGGTTAAAAAAATGTTTGGAAGTCCTTGCTTTGGAAGACAGAAAAGCAGTAAGATTGCTGTTGATGTCACTCTCTACTCTCTCTTAGGAAGGGGAGTCTAGATCAGGCTGGGAACAGTGTGGGAGGCAGACCTAAGGCCCTTCTTTCCTTTATGCTGCTTTTGAAATCTGAATTTTGTCCATATATTTCTATTTGAAGAAAAAATGACTTGAGCTCCAGCATTGCTGTCTTCAGAAACTGTGGGCATAAAACACCTAAAGCATAGTGCAGCACCTGGCAGAGTGTTGCATCTAGTAGGCACCCAATAAATCATTTCTTTAGCTGGGGTGAGGGACACGAGGAATTTTCCGTATGATTCTCTTAGTTTATTTGTGGCATGCTCTTAACAAAAATGTAAGGCTTGAGTTGGTTTTTGTGAAAAGGCAGGTGGACTCTATCTAGAGGAAACCAGGAAGGGCATGGTAGAAGGCGTGGTTCAACCAGAGACGAAGATAAGAATGAGCCCTGTGTGTGTCCAACACTGCATAGAAAGGAAGGCAGAGGATAGTGGGAGTGATGGATTACACCGACGTATACTAAGGGTACTAGAAAAAAGCAGCCGAGTTTGAGCTGAGAAATGGTGTTTCATTTTACTTTTTACTGTGGATGATTAAAAATGTATATGAAAGGTAAAGAATTAGTGACAACCTGATGTATCCATCCCAGCTTCAAAAGACATTAAAACTTGTTTTATCTGTGCCCTTTCCTACTCCCCTGATTATTTTGAAGCCAGTCTAGCTTTGGTATAGAAGAACCCATAAAAGAGCCTTTCTATAGATTTTTCAGTGTTTATCTCAAAAGAGATTTTTGAAAACAATAAATAATCCCTAATATCAAGTATCTAGTCAGAGTTTGAATTTTCCCGGTTATCCATGAGGGTTTTTTTTAGTTGGTTTATTAGAATCAGGATCCAAATATTCAGACATTGAACCTTGTTCATACTATGTCTTTTTTACAGAATTTGCTATGACTAATATTTTATTGCCTGTTATGTGGATGATACCTTCATATTATCAGATATGATAATTCTTACAACAACTCTGTGAGGCAGACATTATTTTACAGGTTAGGGCACTGAAGACAGAAACTTAAAGGATATATTTGATTTTATACATCTGTGATAATAATGGTCACCATTCTATATAACGATAGCCCCTAGTGCTTTATATGTCATTTGTTTCATTACAGTGCTATGAGATAGGTATTAATGTCATTCCCAATGAATAGACCAATGAACCATGTTCATTGAAGTTATTTCATCTGCTCACAGTCACACAGACAGTAAGTGGTAGGAGCTTAGTTTTCAGTCAAGGGTAAAACTGACCTCTAACGCCAAATACCAGCCGGCATTTATTGTCTATTCTGGTAGTGGTAGAGTCACAGATTGAACCCACATCCTCAGAATCCAGAACTGGTGCTCACTTTGTACCTCTTGCTAAGACACCTCTACTCTCACCAACAACTGTCAGCGTGTTTTAGTTCTCCATCTGGCACATGATTGAATGAATTAGGCTGAGAAAAAAGAGAGAAAAATGAAGGTTTATGTCATTCTCGTGCTAAACCATCAGCCTCAGAATAACTGTTTGTACACTGAATATAAAGTTGCATTCATAAGAGTATAAGTCCTCAGGTATCTAGAAGAGAATATGTCTAATTTTAAAGGAAAATTACTTTTAATATTTTTGACACTCAGTATTATTTAATATTAGTTGTGGGTATACACAGTGGTTAGACAATCATATAATTTATAAAGGGACCCTCTCAGTATTTCAGGTACTTACCTGGTACATACATAGTTATAGTATTATTGACTATATTCTCTATGCTGTACTTTACATCCCTGTGACTATTCGGTAACTATCAATTTGTACTTTCACTCTCTTCACCTTTTTTTTTATTGTTGTTTAAGTACAGTTGTCTGTATTTTTCCCCACCACTCCCTCGCACCCCAGCCATCCCCACCTCCCTTTCCTGATCCCACCTGCCCTTGGTCTTGTCCATGTGTCCTTTATAGTTTTCCTTGAAAACCCTTCTCCCTTTTTCCCCCATTATCCCCTCCCACCTCTCTTCTGGTCACTGTTAGTTTGTTCTTTATTTCGATGTCTCTGGTTATATTTTGCGTGCTTGTTTGTTTTGTTGATTAGATTTCAATTAAAGGTGAGATCATATGGTATTTGTCTTTTACCGCCTGGCTTATTTCACTTAGCAGAATGCTCTCCAGTTCCATCCATGCTGTCCCAAAGAGTAGAAGTTCTTTCTTCTGCTCAGTATTCCATTGTGTAAATGTACTACAGTTTTTTGATCCACTCATTTGCTAGTAATGGGCACTTAGGTTGCTTCTAGCTCTTGGCTATTGTGAATTGTGCTGCTATGAATATTGGGTGCATAGATTCTTTTGAATTGGTGTTTCAGGGTTCTTAGGTTTTAATCCCAGCAGTGGAATTGCTGGATCAAAAGGCAGTTTCATTTTCACTTTTCTGAGAAAATTCCATACTGTTTTCCAAAGTGACTGCGTCATCTCTTCACCTTTTTTGTTCAACCCTCCAAACTGCCTCCCCTCTCACGACCATCAGTTTGTTTTCTGTGTCTATGAGTCTGTTCCTGTTTTGTTCATTTATTTTGCTCTTTAGATTCCTCATATAAGTGAAACCATGTGGTATTTGTCTTTTTCTCTGACTTACTTCACTTAGGAATAATACCCTCTAGGTCCATCTGTGCTGTCACAGATGTTAACATTTAATTTTTTATGGCCATGCGTTGATACATGTACCACAATGTCTTTATCCAGTCATTTGTTGATGGTCACTTGGGTGGCTTTCATATCTTGGTTATTATAAATAACACTGCAGTGAACATAGGTTTGCTTATATTTTTCCCTCTTAAATTAGTGTTTTGGGGTTTCTTCGGCTATATACCCAGCAAGGGAATTGCTGGGTCATAAGGCAATTCCATTCTTAATATTTTGCGGAACCTTCGTATTGTTTCTCACAGTGACTGCACCCATTTGTATTCTCACCAACAGTGCGCAATGGTTTTCTTTTCTCCACATACTAACACTCGTTTGTTGATTTATCGGTGATAGCCATTCTGACAAGTATGAGGTGATATCTTATTGTGATTTTAATTTGCACTTCTGTGGTGATTAGTGACAGTGAGGTTG